CAGTGACTGCAGCGCACATTACTGAACAGTGCACATTAGTACAGTAGTAGTTTTATTCATGGCAGTAGAGTACTGTACTGTACATTACAGTTGTGTTGTCACCATACTGTCCGTTACTGTACAGTATGATGTGCAGGGATGCATGCACAGTACATAGTACTGTAGTTTACAGTACTGTGCTGGACGAAAATTCATACTGTACGGTACTGTATGTACTGTACAGTACTGTACTGTACTGTATCTGGAGAGCCATTAGTTTGTTTGTTTTGTATACTGTACTGTGTGGTGATATCAGATTTCCCGCCACTGTACTGTACAGTGTACAGTAAGCAGCGTACGATACTTTCCATTGGACTACAGTACTGTAGCTTCATCGATAGTACTGTACCGTACTGTACCGTCCTGTCCTGTACTGCACATAGATCGATTTGGAAAAGGATCGCACAGGAGGGGGGGGGCTAGTGAGAATATGAATCTACAGTATCTACAGTATATTAGAGTACAGTCTTATACTGTATACAGTACTACTGTACACTGTATAATTGATTTGGAAAAGGATCGCACAGGAGTGGGCTACTACCTGACACAACAGAATATGAATCGATCTATATTAAAGTACAGTGCTATATACTACTGTATATAATTGATTTGGAAAAGGATCACACAGGAGTGGGCTACTACCTGACATAACAGAATATGAATCTATCTATACTAAAGTACAGTGCTATATACTACTGTATATAATTGATTTGGAAAAGGATCACACAGGAGTGGGCTACTACCTGACATAACAGAATATGAATCTATCTATACTAAAGTACAGTACTATATACTACTGTATATAATTGATTTGGAAAAGGATCACACAGGAGTGGGCTACTACCTGACATAACAGAATATGAATCTATCTATACTAAAGTACAGTACTATATACTACTGTATATAATTGATTTGGAAAAGGATCACACAGGAGTGGGCTACTACCTGACATAACAGAATATGAATCTATCTATACTAAAGTACAGTACTATATACTACTGTATATAATTGATTTGGAAAAGGATCGCACAGGAGTGGGCTACCACCTGACATAACAGAATATGAATCTATCTATATTAAATATTAACAAATGAGCACATTATCGTAAACCGTCAGCAAAGCGACGGGAGAATGTACTAGTAAATATAATTAAGATAAGTAACTAGCACAACATTGTGCCAGTTATAGCATAAATTAAGGAAAATTGCAAGAAATATGCTAAGTTCAGTGGTTAGGAGTTTGGAATTGAGTAGCTAATGCATAAGGTGAATCACTTGATTACTTCTGCAGTCATGAATATGGCAATCTAGGAGTCAAATCCTTAAAATGTCTATGAATAAGATAGTATCGAATACAATAAGACTGCAATCACGTACCTAATAGATATATATATATTACTTATTATTGCATTGATGAGGCTTATAATGGTAGACTGTCAATATTAATAAAATTTAAGAAGCTAATATAAATGTTAGTCTTTTATTGCTATTTTATATCCTGTAGTGGATGCAACCACACTTAATTTTCATATTTCTTACAATGCGCTCTAATATTTCCCCATACTACGACATTATATTATCTGCAATCATTTCTCTGAATGTTCTTAGCCAATAAAATTTACAATTTCTATTTAAAGTTGTCATTTTACATCTAGTAGAAAATGGATAACGTTTAAAATTTGACCTAATGTTGTTATACTTAAAAGGCTTATCATGAAGGTCTTCGACCGCCTCAATACGTGTGGATTGGACCTGGATGGTTTCCGGGACAATATTGGTGGAGAAATCGTGAAGATGGCGATCTCATCGTAGGCAATATAACTTGTAATAACACAGTAATGGATTTTATGGCAGAAGGCTATTTTTCAACAGATCCTCCGCTAACGTGGGATGGCAATAAAACCACCGTTTCCAATATGGTAAGAAACAGTAAATTACCTACCATTTTACTGGAAAACCTAATCGTTTTCGTTAGATCTAAAATCCACTCATTATGGTAAATATTTTATTTCTTTCATCTAGTATAGAAAGTAGCTTGAATTATGAGTTGCACTCATAATGATCAAAAAGAAATTTAATACACATTCCTATACACTAAATTTATTTCCTGCGCTTTATAGACTTCTGAAGAATGGATTAAGGCCTACAATACATATCGAAAATATGATCTATATGCAAAGTATGCTGGAGGGTATAACTTTGCCGGCTACGTGTACGATGCAACTTGGGCGGTAGCTCTTACCTTAAATAATTCTATTCAGCGTTTAGCTAAAAAAAATTGACATTAGAAGGCTTTACTTATGGAAATGTTGATTATCTTGGAAGTATTTACTTCAGAAATGGCCAAACTGCAGTTTCTAGGCGTAACGGTAACTAATAAATTAACGACGAATAAGCGTAATTACTAAAATTCAATTTGATGGCGATAA